GTTGCTAGCATCACAGTTTATCGGTTCTCGAATGCGAGTACTACGAGGATGGATTTGTTTACACGAAACGGTTTGAGAGGTTCAACTCTTTTATACAGTAGTATTGGTCAAACGGAGTGAATCTATCACACAGTAATAAAACAGCTGTAGGGTGCTCCCAGGACTTTTCAATGGCGGACAACACGTGAACCCCGTCTGATGCGTCATCTCATAAACAAGACAAATCTTTCAAACCGTCACTTGTAAGACTAGGTTTCAGTGATTTCATCATCAAACTCTTACATCATCATCGTCATTTTCATCATGGTCGTACAGCTAAATAAAGTGNAGCGAACTTCGCTGATTATATTCGAACACAAACTAAGTTAGAATGTGTTTGGTGAATAGGGAGTGGGCTGGTTTTGAGGTAAGGGAAAAGAAAATGAAAGTCAACACACCTAGATCATAATCTTTTTGGCCGTTGCTCACAGACCATTGTAAATTCTCTCCTTAACAAATCACTTGATCTCGATACATTGGATACACTTTAATGATCACGTTGAAATCGGTTCACCCACAACTGCCAGTACTTGTGACTTTATTCATATACGTGATATGATATAACCCAATGTCTTAAAACTGTCAACATTCGTGCATTACTGCTGTTCTATTCCTTGCTCCCTTACCCTGTTGAGAAAACGTTTGATCTACAGACACCACGGTACGTTTCGGGGACATACTGGTACCAGAAAATCTGCCTCACGTCTGTATGTACGACCCGTGTCCCCCTTCCGATGTAACTGATTATCATTCATTCCACATCGGTCCTTATGTCAAATTGATTATAACGACCTGTCCGCTTCCCCCGAAACTCGTTCGAGCTATTTCATTTCACTCTTTTACACATCGTGTATTTCGTGTCCCACCAAGACGCATCTGTACATGCGATCCCGATAAACAACTGTGCACTTGAAAGGATTGACTCTAATTGGTTCAGTTAACCCTTTAAGTACGCTGACCCCTTTGTTTTTCCTCGTTCTTTGGTCTGACGGTGCCTAGTGAGTGGCTTGGCTCGATATCCCGTTCCATTCTGAGCCGGATTTCTCATAACTTCAGATATGTTGTACATATTGTCTGTTTATCTGTATCTCAATGCACCTAGATTACCGAACTCGTGTTCTATGTGCCTGGACTTGGGGGTTCATTTTCTGCGCTTTACTCTATCACTTGGTGTCAATCCGATGCACCACACGTGCATATTTACCTGTTCAAACATTCTGATCTGATAAAAATTGATAGCATGAACGCTGTTGCTGTCGATTCTCTGTCATGTTGTCAACCAACCAGTTGCGGAATCTTTGGGACACCAGCCTGTAAGGCGGGAGACACCTATCTTATTTAATTGTTCTGTGCATTTCATCTAACCTCGCCACTATGTCATCTGTTGACATGTACGTGTCTCTCTTCAACCTGTAGCGGCAAACGGTGCGGCAGATGATAGGTGATCATGCGCAATACGTGCTCTATTCAGCGAAACCTTGAAGTATGATAATGGGTTTCATCGATTTATTCTCAAACACAGCGTTTTATCTAGAGGTAACTTGCCCGTTCGTTCCATCCCACCTGTGTTAAATAACATAAAAATGGATGATCGAAAACCCCTGACTAACAGATATCTACACAGAATTTCGAGGTCTCAACCGCGTAGCAGAATAGAACGTAAAGTGGTGTATTATACGCAATTTTTAACTGCAGTGAACGGTGTCAATGGTGTTTCAGTGCAGCGTATACCGCTTAAGCCTTGCCTAAAGGCGCGGTTACCTTTTTCCGGGCGCTATCATCATTTGTCATGCAGTTATCTAAATGGGAGAAGAAATCAAGTGTAGCCAATTTTTGGCCATGTATCTTCAAGGCAGAGGTAGGTAATGCGCGGTTTCGCTGCTTTACTTTTGCTCTTGCAGGGTGCAAAATAAACGAAAAGTAACAACCTTCACAATCATATTTCTTCTCGAATTACTAGCACGGGGAATTAGATGAAGGACAAATGAGACTAATCGGACTAGAATGAGTAGGGGAGGTAAAAGAGAAATAAACTCAGAAGATCCACTTGACACTCATAAAATCGAGACCCCCATATGTCGTCTTGTCATATGTCATCATCTTGATCACACCTCACACGATGGAACTTTACCCTGGCTAATAGCCCACCTGAACCAATTTTCTTGGTAAGCGCAGGCTTCACCCTTCAACATTCGTAAATGAATCGCCTCGACAGCCACAGATGCCCCAAGCTTTATTTCTCCCTGTGTCTGCGGTTGGACCAAGAGAATAGCACAAAAGCCCCAACTTCGTATTGATTGACTAATCTGTCTCTTCTAAGTGAGTAACAGTTACACTAGATGCCATCTGGTTTCCTTCATGCCATAAGCGTCATGGGATTCGTCCGCCAATGCGTGGAAGCAGTTGTCTGGTCAATCAACAAACATAAGGAGCACCACAGGTACACTTAAATTTTTAGATCAACATGAAGGAGTCGTAAAGAGCCAACTTGCGTTTGTTGTGATGTCGGATCACGCGCAGTTAAGAGAAAATGTTAATTTCGTGATATCGAAGATGAAATTCACTGTCGTACTAAGAATCATTGTGAATCCATTTCTAAGCTTAAATTTTGAAGGGTTTCTAGCTCTAGGTTGTATAACGGGTTAAAAAGGTTGTATACCCTGTCTTCATGTCTTTCATTTCGGTAAAAAATAGAAACTAACCGCAGGAACCCAGTGATTGCTGCTTTTTCTTGGTGTAGGAGATGGTCTCGCGAAATTAAGCGAGTTGATCCTGAGTACACGTCCATTTTAGTTTGTGTAAGTAATCCAATGCATTTTCGGTAGATTTGTTTAAAAAGTTTTATATTTAGTCCACAAAGAGTGCCAAGAACGCGACCGTATCCTTAATCCCCATTGGTTTTCTTAAGTATTCTGTTTGAAATTTCCACATAAAATGTACGATGTACTGCATTCTGACTAAGAATATAAGTTTACTCTGTTGCATAAACCCGGTAGTGGTATAATTGATCAATAAGTATTCCTTTTTAATTGATTTTGTGATTTAGTTAGCATCTATTCCTCTCGCTCCGTTGTGTCTCATGCATCCGGGACATCTATTCTGTTTGCCGCAAGATGAAGAAGTTCGTGATAGTGAACGGTTGGCTACCGGTATCAGCCAAACGCACTCCGCAGCACAAAATGTATCAACCGAACCGACTAGCGTAGTTTCGGGAGCCAACGCGGAACCGGTTGCAGTTCTGACACGGCGTTTAGCCGCCCCGGAAGATAGCACCGGTGGGATGCCAAACGACGATGGGAATGGGGACAAATTGTCCGGTTCGATGCTGGACCCGGGAGGACTGTCTCAGCCACGGGATAATCCATTACTTATGTTATCCTCGGCAGACTCTATCCATCAAGAACAAGTGACTTCATCCCAAGGAACTGAGGAATTGGTGGACGTTGGATTTGACGAGGCAGTGAACAAAATCCGTAAGTCCTTTGATGCAACAACAAATATCAGTCTCATTCCCCTTAAATTATATTTGTTTTTTCTTTGATTTTGCATTTGATTTCAGAATTTAAAGGGGCATGTATATGTTACCGTTTGTGCCAATGAGGCAGAAAAACTACAAGACTGGGTTGATCCAGCATCCAATCTCACTCTTACCGGAGAAGTAATAGAGCAGGTGGATAAGTTTTGTTATCTGGGCAGCTATATCTCACCCGGTGGACGNGGACGCATAACAGATCAAGTGTCAGCTCGCATACAGAAGACTTGATTGGCATTTGCCAACTTGAGACATCTGTGGCGCCGTCGCGACATCCGGTTGTCTGTTAAGGGTTGAGTATATGCTGCTGTAGTTCGGCCAGTTCTGCTATATGGAGCAGAAACTTGGCCGTTAAGAAAACAGGACGTAGATAGACTGTCGGTGTTTGAACACCGCTGTCTACGTAGCATTGCACGAATCTGGTGAGGCAGCCGGACAAGCAATGCTGAGGTCAAGGGAAACGTTTTAGGCAACCGCGGTCACCCACTGGAGCAAGTGGTCGACCTCCATAGATTACGTTGGTTGGGACAT